TATTACGCATATTGCAATAAATAATAAATTCTGTAAAAAATCTTTAACAGTAATTTGATTAAACAAATAAGATGGGTGGCGCAAAGCGTCACCCATCGAACTAGTATATAATATATAATATTATGCAGTATTTAGCCTATATGTAAATAATATATGGAACATGTTACCTTCAGTGTGAAAAATGGGTTTGCATGCAAACATACGTACGCACGATTCGAAATGGGCCTAGATCTACCGTCAAGAGAAAATTTAGCGTATACGTACATAATTGTACCATCATGGTATTTATTTATAATTATTATGTATACGTATTGACTAGCTGGTTCTGGACATACAATACTGTGCTTTTGCCTAGTAAATAGTAAAGATCAAACAATTTTTTCAAAAATTTTCGAAGGCATTTAAATAGCAATCATACAGTTATACGTGTTCGTATAGATAGAGATGGGTTATAGTTCGAGTCAAATCAAGTCGACTCGATTCAAGTGAAACATCTTTCAAGAACATATAATAGGCAAATTAAATCATTTTTAACAGAGATAAATATATGAATTATCGTAATTTTTTACAGAATATCAAAATCGTATTATCTAAATTGCAGTCGATACAATCAGTTCAATTGAGTTTGATATTTCTCAAGTTACTAGTCACGCATTATAAATCAAGTCAAATTAAATTTTATTTGAATTTTATAATTAGTAGTTACGAAAATTTTTATAGTACAGTAAATTCTATTCAGAAACTACTATTCTTGTCATCATTTATTTTTTTTTTATTTTTTTTTTTTTAAACCCCTGACTGTATTAGTCGGGGACGTCGTATGACGCTATTTTATTCAATTACTATTTATGTACAACAATGGATATTTCGTCTACATGATGCAAGTCTATTTACTGGGTTTAATTTTACATTATTTATATAGAACTTTTCTAAGTAATTTTTTTCTTTCTTTCGCAATTTAGTCCCCATGAGCAGGGCCTGCAATTCTTTCATGATGCGATCTTTCCATATAAATTGTATTGCAGGCTCTGGAATTGAACTATCCCCCACCTTTCATTAGTGTACCATGTCCAAATTTCGTATATTATATTTATGTGTAACCAGATCATTACTGTATGAGGAATTGTTGAATCTACATTGGAAGCAGTTATTATCTCTTCTATTGATGAAGGTATGTTTTGTTCTATTTTGAAGAAATCATAAGCAGATTTCCATATTTTTTTGCTTATTCGACAGTCTGTTGTAAAGTGATCTATTGTTTGTAGTTTATTTTGTCACCAAAGGCAGTCGTTCGACATTTCTGGCACAAAGTGCGAAATTCTCATTGCCAATGGCAGAGCTTTATGAATTACACATCACAGTATGTCCTTTTTTTTATTTTGTACCCATTTTAATTGGATTCATGTCAGGTTTTCCTTTCTATTATTTCTACTGAAAAAATTGTTCTGTGTGATTGTGCTTTTTATTGAGAAATCTCTTAGAAATTCTGTCACATGAGACACTGTTAGCTCGTTGCTTCTCAAGCCCATAATTTTATGTCGTTTGGGTTCCAGGGCAAATCACCTTTTTCGATTGGTGCTTCTTCTTGAAGTCTTCTCCAGGCGGTTAGGTAAGGCTTCTATTCGCATGGCCACCCCTTTAGTTTAATGGGTCTGTTTGTGAGTGCAGTTAACATGCTCCTTTTACGTTTGTTTTGCAGCCATTTATTGATGGCCTCTCTCTCTATTCTTGCCCATAGCTTGTTGCTTGATAGTAGTTTAAGCCAAATTGTGGGTAGTCTGGCATCTATCATATCGGAGAGCACCCGAGCTTTTAAGCCAAGTTGTTCATAGGATTGTTAGAATATTGCGTATCTAGGTAGTAATCTTGATTTATTTTTGATCCATAATGTTATTTGATTATTTATTTCCGCAAGTTGTTTTCTATTTGGCGGTTGAATATAGACTGCATACCAGATCTTGGATAGCAAGAGCATCTTAGCTATTAAGATGCGACCTTTGAATGAGAGACTTCTTTTGTCTAGTGAATTTATTAATTTTTTTATTTTTTTGACTATAGATTGCCAGAGGTCCTTTTTTGGCTACCTGTCTTTACGTATTTCAAAACCTAATATTTTGATCGCTCCATCCTCTTTCAATTTTAGGAAATTTTCTTTGCCCACCAGATTAGTGTGCTATCAAGGTTGATTTTTCCTTATTAATTGTTGCATTCGATGCTCTTTCATAAACCTTTGCCAGCTAGAAAAATTTGTCCTAGTCATTTGAGAACCCTATACCAATTGTAAAATCATTCGCATAAGCTACTAATTTGAATATTTCTTTTCCTACTTTTATTCCTTCTATCTGGTCATTTACTAATTTCAGAAATGGTTCAAAGGCCAAGATGTAAAGTAGTGGAGATAAAGGATCTCCTTATCTCACACCTTTTTCTATTTTGAAAGGAACTAACAGCATAGCTGAGTCTGTAATAAGCACTGATAGTTGTGCAAAAAGGTTTTTTATGATTCTCACAAATACATTACTAAACCCCATCTTTTCTAGTACTAATTTTAGATATTCATGATTCACTTTATCAAAGACTTTTCTTTGATTGATGAAGAGCATCCAACCTTGTTCCACTTCATTTTTCTGACTTCTTAGAGTGGTTATGATGTTGAGCGCTGTGTCTATGATGTGCCTACCCACTATAAAACCACTTTGGTAGTCTCTGATTACTTCCATGCAAATCGGGTTTAAGCGATTTGCCAAAACTTTCAAAAATATTTTTGAATCACAGTTAACTAGAAAAATGGGCCTCCAGTTATTTATGTCTTCTACCTTTTCTGATTTTTTAGGGATGAGCATAATCACCCCTTTATAACAAGAGTCAGGGATTTTCCCTGTTTGTAGAATCTTATTAAAGATCAACTCTAATATAGGTGAAACTTCTTCCTTAAATGCTTTGTAGAATTCGTGATTTAGGCCATTTATGCCAGGTGACTTAAAGTTTGGAAGTCTGTCTATAATGCCTTTAATTTCCTCTACAGATATTTCTTTTGTAAGAGAGGTGTTTTGTGATGGAGTTATTTGGGGTAAGTTATTTGTTATTTCATTTGCTTTTTCCAAGTCTATATCTTCCTTTTTAAAAAAAGCTTCATATTGATCCTTTATATAATTTAGAATATAGCTTGGATCTTCATTTATGGGAGAAAGCAGGTCTCTAATATTTGAGGTGGCTGTATGCTCTTGTCTCGACTTGAATCTGCTAAAGAAATATTGTGTAGATGTTTCTCTCTTTTCTAGCCACTTCGATTTAGATCTAATTTGCCACTTGTATGAGAGATTTCATAGTTCTTTCTGAAGTTCTATGTTTAGCCATGATGTAACTATTTTGAGATCTGTTAGATCTGGGTTTTTTGCTAACCTATTGTTTGTCTCTGTAATTTTTTTATTTAGTTTGTTTATTCGTGATTCAGATGAGGTTGGAGGTTTAAAGGCTCTAAAAATCGATTGTATACGCACTTTGGTGAAATTCTATTCCAGGATCTCAGCAAAGCACCCAAGCTTCTTCAAAATCTCTTCTTTAATTCTCAGGTTTTGTAACATATTTGAATTCAGTTTCCATAAAGTAGGTTTTGGGAATTCTCTTGTATGGAATAGCAAAGATCTTACCATTAAGTAGTCAGAGTTACCGAAGTAGGTTTCTTTTTTTTTACAAAGTTGGGCATGATCTGAGTCAATAAAAATGTAGTCTAATCTGGTTGACATTATTTGATTGTTTTTTACTTTTTGATGATATGTTATAAATGGTTTCTTGCCATTGATTTTTGCTATATCAGTGAAGTCCTTCATTAGGTCTCTTAGTTTTTCTCTTGAAGGGTCACTGTGGTTTGGGACTTGACTTATTCTATTCTCCTTGGGATCTTCTTGTTCCCTGCAAGTATCGCTATTTTTGTGGACCAGCTAGAATTGAAGCACCACTGTTGTTTAATGAAGTTCTGATTTTTTTTGGTCAAATAAATTAGTTTCTTGCAACAAAATAATGTCTGCCTTATAACTCTTCAATAGAGTAAGTGATTGTTCCCTTTTATCCTTATTATTTAAACCTTTAACATTTAATATTGCGATATCAATAATGTGTTTTTCTGTTATTGTGAGAGGTATTAATGTTTGATTTTGATGTGGTTTTTCTTTTCTTTCTGCTTGTAACCTCGATAAATTCACCTTCCGGGTCTGGTGGCATGTCTGATTCCATTATCTCTGTTAGAGTCTGACATCCTACCTGTTTGGGTAAATTTGACATGGACGTTGAATCGTTGTTAGGTGAGTGGAAGATTCTTGTTTGTCTAGTGCTTGATTAGACTTCGGGTTTATATTCGACCCTCCACTTTTATATTCTGTTTGCTTTTCTACTTGAACTAGGAGCTAAGTTGCTGTGAGTTCTCTGTGATCTTCAGATTTGTCATCTTCAACTTCTATTATGCTGCCCTCCCCTATTTCTTTGGGAGTATTACTTACACCTTTAACTGCATCTTGTAGTTTTGCCAAAGCAGTGGGTGATTTCTCTTTTGATTTCATTTTTGATTCCTTGAAGACTTTATAGTAGTGCCTGAGCCTAATAGCCAGTTTGTATTCTTTACTATCTTTTTTTAGATGCCCTGTTTTATCACAATAGTAGCATACCTTCAGAGCATTTTTCTATTCAGTAGTGATCTTTTGGTCTAAGATGTTAATAGACCTAGGGATTCTTTCTTCTGTGTCATTCATAGTTTCAAACACTATAACCCACTGGTCTGATAGGATTGATATACCCTCATAAATGAGTAGTTTGATAGAGATGATATCTCCAATGTCATCAAATATATCTTTTATTTCGTTTAAGATAAGCTTCCTCTTCGCTATTGGAAGCTTTCATAGCTTGACTGAGAGAAATAATCTTATTAACCTAGTAGAGATATACCTGAAGTATGTTTGGCCAAACATGATAATACCCTCTGTTGCATATTTTTTTATTTTGATTTTGTTTTCGAAGATTATTTTTATATGTGAGCGTGTTCCCTTGGTGAAGTGTGAAACTGCTCCTATGATGTCTAAACCTATTTTGCTATGTAAAGCAATTATGATTTTGTTAGTTGAAATATTTTTAAAATTCTGAATATTGAAAATGAGAGTGTTTTTATTTTTGGTGCTAATACTTCTTTGAGGTAAGAATGTGGAGAAGATAGCTGGTCCCTTAGAGAACTTCGTAAACAGCTTTGACCACAATTTTGGTGATTCTTCAGTAGAAGATTTTCTGAGGTTTTTTCTTGTATATGTATTCAAGTTGTCATTACTTTCTGGTTCATTACTTATTTGTTGTTCTAATGGTTGTTCATCAACTGATATTTCGTCACCTGAGAGATTTTCATCAAAACAATTATCATTGATATCTACATCTTCAGAAATTTCTTGGATTTTTTTTTGATGAAACTTCTTTGGCATTCTCTAAAATATTAGTGACTTGTGAAGTGGTTTCTTTTGCATATACGCACTTCATTTCTTCTGACCATTTTGTGTTAGTTGTTTTTAGCATTTTTTGAGCTAAAGGTTGCTTGCTTGCATCCTTGTTTGTTCCTCTAGTTAACTGACTTTTCAGCGGGCTCAAGTTTTCTTTATTTTTGCTTTGCGATTTGGAACTAGATGCTTTTTCTATTTTGTATTTAGTTGCTGTTTCAAATGTGTCTGGGAGTTTGTGTTTTCTTGGTACAAGGGCTATTGCCCTGGTACAGGAGTTGTTTTTGGTCTCTGGGAGTTGTTTTTCTTAATAGTTCCAAACTGTGTGTATCACCTGGCATCTGTGTGGAGCGGAGTGACTGTTGATCCTCTGTCTCAAGTTTTTTAAATAGTTTCTAATAATTTATTTTGCATTAGCTTGAACAAGACAAGTATTTATAGCATCGTGAACAACTTCACATCTTACTTGTGTTTTTTTGTGTATTGCATGAACCATTTTGTTAAGCGTGGGGCTATAGTAAATATTTTTTATCTATGTTCGTATAACATGTATAGTAGAGTATATCAGGGCGGCCCCTCCAAAGTACTGGTCAATGATCGATGTTGGGTCGATGATCGATGCTGGATCGATAATCGATGTCAGATCAATATCACTGCCGCAGCCAGCTTATCATGATTATCCACCGCCACCATTGTACAGTATCGATAATATCAGATATAACGTAACAAGCAAATTTTTTAAAAGTTAATGGTATTTAAAATCTTGTACACTTAAGTTTTTTGGTTTTTAGAGTACGTATAATGAGTAAATAAGAAACTAAAATTAATAGTCTTCTTTTTTTTATTATTAGACGTCAAATCAAATCTATTTTATTTAACTATTAAGAACTTGATTAGATTAGATTTTTATATAATTAACAACTTTTCTTTTAA